TACATTATCGGAGAAAAAGACGTCCCAACTTCTACTCTTTCTGTTGGTGAAAGCCGCAGATCGCTAGCTCTTTCCGTTCTTGAGCTATTGCAAAAATACCCGAGCCCATTTTATTTTTGGACAGGCATTAGTTTCCTACTCAACTGAACAAAATCATGACATTCTCGTTATAAATCAAGCCATATCACTACCGAATACACATCAAATCAACCCACGTTGGCTCAACATCTATATAGATTACCAGACAACGGCTTGACTGAAATCAAACATCAGCCGACACACCAAAAACCCATTTACACTAGCTCTGCGTTAGCTATCAGAACTGCGACAATACCATATCGGAAACATTATCCAGAAAAAATAAACATAATCACCGAGAGACAAATAAAAAAAACAACACCTCCGGATAAAATTACCAGTCCAGTCCAAAACGAACTCATACATTCACCGATCGCAGTGTCCCCATTTTTCCTGTAGGCGACGTCCTATTTGAAAAATGTTTTCGCTGGGAAAAATCCGGACGCTCAGACCCATGCATATTTCAAACACTTACCAGATTATCCCTCAAAAACACTAAAATTGCTAGCCCTAACCAACAATTTAACATACTACTACTTCAAAAAACTACTCGCCATTTGAATTAATCCATCTAAGTCGCACGTGTAGGTTAGAATTAAATAGCAGCACTTTAAATTTAATAGCCGAACTTACCTGATAAAGACCCTTAAGCAAGGTCGAAACCGGTCGTAAGTATAGCTTGTGCTATTAAATGAAATTCATTTGTATACTCACCCACACCCTAAATTGTTTTCTGTCCAATTGAGACTTTCTTTAGCTCAAAGGGCCAAACCGTTCACCAGACAAGGTTAAAATGCCGAGCATACGCTCAAGTTAGTTAGTTTCTAGACAGTTTGATTAAAATCAATTTGTCGTCAATTCGTTTTACTTTTTGAAGTACACATAACACTCGGAATTAAATCCGATGTTTCCGTATTTTTATTTATGATGATTATTTAAAATAGTTTATAGTATTTCAGTAGTTGTCATTTCTTTTCTTTGTAGAATAAATGACATACAACACAGAGAGCTTCATGATAAGCTTAACATTTCTTAGTTAGTTTTCTTTTTTTTTTATTATATTAAAGATGGGGACTGCGGTAGAATGGATAGCAATATTTTAGAAGCACACATGAGTACGAGAATAATCAGTCGACAATGCTGCTTCGGATCAGTGAGGTTGATAGCCAAGAAGATTCTTCAATAGATTTAAAATAGATAGGCCTTTGTAGAAGTTTTTAGAAAGCTATCAAAGATATTTGTCTAACAGCTGCCTGTGATAAATTGAATTTAAAAGTTTTCATATATAACGAAGAAGAATTGCTTTAAACAACAATATCCAACGATTGATACGTTACTCATCTTCACGATTTCATAAAGCTACTTCTATCAAAAGAGTTAGTACTGGCATTAAATGGTACACTAACTATATACTATCGAGACATTGAGATTGACTACGGTGGTTTATATGCTCAATTATAAGAATTTTTATTTATTTTGCAAATAATAAAAGGAATGACACAAACTATCATATCATTTTAATGAACTATGGTAAATTTCAGATAATCTATGACTTAATTAGTTAATTTTATTAAATCATAATCAAAACATTAAATATAAAAAATATAATATACTAATAATTCCATAGATTAAAAAAAAGTTATATGATCGATATGCAGAACCTTTATTCGTAAAGTTTTCGAAACAATCAAATAGTTCTTTGGTTATATTAATTATTGTGTTTTGGACTTCATCCGATTGACTATCGCTTCGCACTGTATCTCCATTTGTTATTATAATTACGCCTAAATTTCTTTTTTCATTTGCCATCATTATAGTTGTTATACCAGGTACTGATCCTTCATGTCCAATTAAACGTCGTCCACCTATAACTTTCCAGTACCACATAAGACCATATTTACTGTCTGACATATTTAAATAACTTGTTTGTGGTGCAACATGAATAATTTCTTCAACAGAAGATAAATTATGTAAAAGTTTTGTAAAATTGTTAAGAAATGATTGGAAAAATAGACTCAATGAGTAAGCTGACATGCGTAAATAACCAGCTGGATATCTACTAATACCACAAAAAGGAACATATAACCAATCAGAAGAATTATCAACCTAAAAATATTTAAAGAAAATATTCTTCATTGTTTTAACATCATTTTAAATTTACTCGGGAAACATTTATTTGAGGCACCATATGTTGAAATGTTTGAAGCCATGATGCATTATAAATATAATGACCAACAAGATATTATTTTTTATCTTGAAAATTACTTAATCGATAACCGGCATCCTTTTTATCAATACCCAATACTTTTAATATTTTTTCTTGAACATATTCTTCAAATGACATATTAGCTACACGTTCAACAATAAATGCAGCTAAACTTGCTCCTATATTTGAATAAGATGTTATATTATGACCAGGTGGTACAGGTAACCAACTATTATTATAACTTAGATATTTTTCAATGATATCACCAAGATTTGTTTTTGTAAAATCATCACCAGGAAGATAGAATTTATATTCTTCTGCAAGATTGACTCCAATACCAGCTGTATGTGTAAGTAAATGTCGCGTAGTAATAATAGCATTTGGATAATATGGATGAATAATTTTCATACGAGGTGGCAGATATTTATTAATATCTTCATCAAGATTCAGAAGATTTAATTCAACCACTTGCATAGCAGCAACAGCAATGAATGTTTTTGAAATTGATGCTAACACGAAAATTGACGATACGGCATTCATTGGTTGACGTTGTTCTGGTATTGGAGGAGAATGATAACCAATTCCTTTTTGATAGAGAATTTCATCTCGATTGAGAACAATAACTGAAGCACCTGGAATATATGCTTCATCAAGAAGACGTTGTATTGATGCAGTTGCAGGAGGACATTGAAGTTCTATTGAATCTGCTTTGATTAAAGCAATGAGAAAGAAGAACCAAAACATATTTTACACTGAATTTGCTTTCGTTTCATTTATCTGCATGTATATATATATATATATCACAGAATTAGTCATATCTACTGATATTAAATGAGTAAGACAGAATAGAAAAAATAAATATTGTTTTAGCCTTCACCGAAACCATTTTTCTTTTCCCTTGAAAAGTGAACATTTGCTGGTAACCATGTTATTCGTCGAAAAATTTTCGTCGAAAGGCAGTTGGTCGAAAAATTATTGTAGAAAAATTTTCGTCGACACTACATTTCGTCGACACGGCACTTCGTCGACAAGCATTTCGTCGAAAAATTTTTGTCGACACGACACTTCGTCGACACAACATTTTGTCGAAAAGCATTTCGTCGACAAGATACTTCGTCGAAAAGCATTTCGTCGACACGACACTTCGTCGAAAAACATTTCGTCGACACGACACTTCGTCGACAAAGCACTTCATCAATAAACTCAGATGGATATCTGTTTTTCGTCGAAAGTATTTTCTTGGCTATGGAGAGTACCGCAAATGTAAAGGTGAGGTGAGGGTAAGGGTGGGGGCAAGGACCATATAGACGTACTCCAGATGTGAGAGTGAGCATGACGTCAAGGCAAGGGTGAGTGAGAGTGAGCAT